AACCCGAGTCCTAGGGTTCTGAGGGTTAGAGATTGTGTTGGTTACCTGGCAGGCCTGGCAATTGTTAACCAGGTCTCCTGTCATTTGATTTTCATTTTGTGTCTTTACGTCTGAATATCTTAGTCCTGAATTCGGCAGATTCCCATGTGGGAGGCTCGGGGCATCTTCCACAGCACTTGGAGGCCAAGATGTTTGTGTAGTGTTACTTTATTGTTCGCTGACCTCCACCACCCTTATAGTGGTGTGCCATGGGAAGAGTCTTTATCCATGCCAAATCCTCCTGAGCGTATTTTGGCTCATCTGGCAAAGCTGGTGGTCCAGGGTCCACCAGAACTGGTGCCAGGACAGGAGTCATTGCCACTTCTGTCGCTATTCTGTCGGCCAAATTGTTTCTTTTTTATGTCGGCCCATCTCCTTCTTGGTGGCCAGGGTGGTGTATAATAGCTAGTTTTCGAGGTCACCATAGGGCTCTTAGGAGACACAAGATCTCAGTCTTATTCTTGATAGTCGTTCGTTCTCTCTGCAGTAGGAGGCCCCTTCCTTTGTATATGGCTCTGTGTATGTGGGCTGTTGCAAAGGCATAGCAGCATTGGTTCTGCCCAAACTACTTCACCCATTGTAGTCACTGCTGCCCCTGCATACCTTAGTCCATTCTGCACAAAGCTGCACCCATCCATAAACCAGGTCTCCTCTGCGGCTGGCAATGGAGTGTCTTTTAGGTCAGGTTGAGTGCAGTGTGCCTGGGCCAGGATTCCGGAACAGTCAAGAAGTGGGGTTTCAAGGTAAGGGTCTGGCAGCACCGTAGCTGGGTTGAGAGCTGTTGGGACTTGGAACTTATTCTGGTTGGGTTAAGGAGCAGGGCCTGATAGCGTGCCATTCGGTCGGGTGGTCGTTTAAGCACTGCCTCCAGCGCATGTGGGGTGGCAATGGTTAGGTTCTGTCCCAAAGTCAGTTTGTCAGCATCCTTAACCAGTAGTGCTACTGCTGCTATGATGCAGATGCAGGAGGCCACCCTGCAGCCATGGGATCCAGCTTTTTGGACAGACAGGCCATTGGTCTCTTCCATGGCCCCACAGTCTGAGCGAGCACACCTTTGGCTGTTCTCTTGGTACTCATCCACGAACTTAAATCCAGCTTACTCACATCAGGCCGCCAAGCACTGGGGCTTCCAGGAGTCGCAGCCGTTCCCCAAACCTCACTGCATGAACCTTACCAAGTCACCTGGACAGTGGCTGACCCAAAAACAGGGACTGTCTGGGTCTTCAGGACTGATAGTCAACCCTACTGGATATGGTGGCCCTCCCTTGAAATAGACCTCTGTACGCTGGCAAACGGGACTCTTGTTTGAAACTGTAACACAAATGATGGACTGACTGAATTGAGAAACCAGGAATTTCAGGTTTGCCCTGGTTCTCCCCTGTGTAATCATTGTGGGGAAGAAGGTTTTTATCAGAAAATTTGGGGATGTAAAAAGACAGGTATGATACAAGTAATACAACATAAGGGTCCTATTAAAGTCATCAGAACTAAAAGAGGAAACAGCTGTTCTAAGGGTTATAGAGATTTTTATGGCATGGGAATTGAAAAAGACCCCAAGCCCCCTATTTTGCAATCCCATTATTTTTTTTCTTTTTTAGGTTTGGAATTTTTTTATTTTTTTTTATTGAGCTATATATTTTTCTCTGCTCCCCTCCTTTCTTCTCCCTTCCCCTTCTACCCTCTCTCATGGTCCCCATGCTCCCAATTTACTTAGGAGATCTTGTCTTTTTCTATATCCCACATAGATTAGATCCACGTATGTCTCTCTTAGGGTCCTCATTGTTGTCTAAGTTCTCTGGGGTTGTGAATTGTAGGCTGTTTTTTCTTTGCTTTATGTCTAAAAGCCACTTATGAGAGAATACATATGATATTTATCTTTCTGGGTCTGGATTACCTCACTCAATATGATGCTTTCTAGATCCATCCATTTGCCTGCAAATTTCAAGATGCGATTAGTTATTTTTTTTCTGCTGTGTAGTACTCCATTGTGTAAATGTGCCACATTTTCCTTATCCATTCTTTGGTTGAGGGCAACCGGATTCTTATTTCCTTCACCCAGGAGGGATGACAGGACTGGAACTGGGAGAGGGCTCAAGTCTGGGGGGACTCAAGTTAAATAGGGGAACCTGGCTGAGCATGCAACCCTTTGCAATGACACCATAAGCACGGGAGCCCTGCAGACAGGACCACGGACAAGAACATGATTATTTGGTCCCGGTAGGGGACGCCTGGTGGACTTGTTCCTCAGGGCGTACCCCAGTGTAAACCGCAAGGTAATAGCTGATCCACAGGACTTCTGGGTAATGACCAGAGTGATTCCTCCAGTGAGCTATCATACAAACTCAGACTTTTTAACTTTGACAAAAAGCGACAGATGGACCCACAGGAAGCCAAAGAGGGAACTGGTCACTGCCGAAACTCTTAGAGTTCTTTTGGGAACAAGCTTGGTAGGTTTTAGAATGGGAGTAACTTCCCTGGTGATCAGCAAGCCGCCATTGATAAGGATATAGACCGCTTAGAAACCTTCATTACCATTTGGAGGATTCTTTAACATCACTAGCAAAAGTGGTTTTGCAGAACAAAAGAGGACTACATTTAATCTTTCTACAATAAGGAAGACTTTGTTAAAAGGGGAGAGGTTGGACTACGGGGGAAGGGGACAGGGGAGGGGGGAAGGGGGGGAGTGACTCTTAACAGGGATGGTTCAAATCCTGGTTTAATAGCTCTCCTTGGTGAATGACCCTTGTTTCTGCCATTATTATAGGACTCCTATTGGTTTTCTTATTAATTTTGACTATCGGCCCATGTATAATTAATAGGCTGGTACAGTTTGTAAGACAAAGGCTTGACACCATTGAACTTACGGTTCAGCGTACTAACGCTAATGTATTATTATTCTTATTATCCCCTCCCGGATGAGGATGAAATAGAACTTGCAAGTTATTCCCATCATATTGAGGAACCTAGAGTTCAGGATTGAACTCCATCTAGAACTCCTAGGGGGGATGTGAGACCAGAAAAACTGAGGCCGGAAAAGATTCCATTTTTGTGCTGGGACATTTTGGGACCTCGAACTTCATCCCAAACCCTGAGAAAAGTCGGGGTCGCAAGTATTAGTTAATGGAAAAACCCAAATTACACAAAAGTGCTGACTGCTACCCACCTGTGGGTTACACAAAAGATGTTGACCACCTGTAGTTAGGTACCACCAGCTGACCCTTTGGAAACTTATCCTATTGGTCCATTGTTACTCAACCGTGCGGGAAGTGGGGCTTGTTCACCCATACCAACTGAAAGACCCCAGTGGTGGGCAGTCTTTCAGGCTAAGGAGACCCTCCCAAGGAACAGCGAGATCACTCTTCGGATGCAAACAGCAAGAGGCTTTATTCAGTACACAGGTACCTGGGGCGACTTAGTCTCTCGAAAGACAAAGCGCGCCTGCAGACTGGGGGAAGGTCTTTTTATAGGAAAGAGGGCAGCAGAAGCAGATTACAGAAGCAAATGCATCGTTAGTGGTCAGTTGGAATGGGGCAAGGGGCACAGGGGGTTTTTCCTCTCCCAGCACAGATGTATGGGAACAGATATCCTGTTAATTGATGTCCTGTCCGAATCTATGGATATAAATATCCTGTTTTGCAGCCAGGGACCCTGACCTTACTCTGCACTTACAGTCGTTCGTCAAAAGCTTTGTGAAATGACGTTACAGCAGCTAAGCTGGGATCTTTCATAGGGGGAGTTGTCTCTTCTGTGAATTACTGATATTCTAAGTTGGGCACATGTGCTGACTATAGGCATCCTGTTTCCCTAAGCAAACGGGATGTTCTCATTAGAGCAGGCCAGCTGCGGGTTCCTTATCGCTTGGGGCCAGATGGCTGACCGGCTGACCACAGATATCTTGCCTGGCTTCTCCGCCCTTTGTTCTCAAGTCGAACTTCCCTGCTCTAATGTTACTTGTGTTGCTCCAAAGTTTAAGCCTGGCATTGCTGCTGCTTAGCTGTTTGTCTATACTGTGGGGGTCTTTCACAACTGTGCCCTAGACAAGAGCCTATTAGAAAATAACAGCGAAGTTTTACCTAACCTTTAGCCAACTGTGATATAGGATAAGTAATTTTGTACTTTGAAACTGTAATCTTGTTACCGCTTTGAGGTTTTTGTCTTTATAAACCCCTTACAATAATAGATGGGGTCCTTCTCCCTCCATCTGCTGTGTCAGACAGCGAGGTAGAGAACCCGCACTAGCCCGTATACAATAAATAAAACCTTGGTTTTTCGAAAGAGTGTGGCTCCGTGGTGGTCTTCTTGGGGGGGGGGGGTCTCAGGACTTAGGCACAACAGTCTGCAAGCCCCTAACATCATAACACAGCAGGGCAGAGGAGTTGTTGGGTCGAGCACACAAACGGAGTCAGCTGAAAGCAAAACAGGTAACCTTGGTCAGTTCACCATCCCCTCCCATCGGGCCTTTGAGCGATGATGGGTAAGCTCTCACTAGGTACCCTCGTTACCTGCTTGCACATCAAGACTCCTCTCCTGTTCCCAAGGAAGGAACCTGGCTAGGGTGCAGTGACCCTTGGAAGTTCCAGAAAGTAGTAGGTACCAATACTGAAGAAGGTAGTCCCGGGAACAAAGCGGGGGTTATCCCAGGAAAGCAAGTGGACAGAGACAAGTTCGGCGATCAAGTGCCTGCTATTTGTGGAGACAAAAACTAAGAGCGGGCCGAGCTGTCCACGCCCCCTTGTGTTGGGACAGGACTGTGCCTACGCTCTAGGGACAAGAGGGGTGGGAAGGCTGCACTGACTCGGGAAGCTGCTTGCGCAGGCGCACAGGCAAGGCAAGACCGCGCGGGCTGCGGATGTTGTCAGCGCGCAGGCGCCGCAGGTCCCTGGCAATCCGCGCGCGACCCCCCACCCCCGTCCCGTGAAGCCGCAGTACGCAGGCGCTGGAGCCTCCCCACTGAGGGCAGGCGTGTTAAGGCTGCACACAGGTGCGTGTCCTGGTGGGAGCCCCAAAGGCAGCTCGTTGGTTTCCGGTTCCGGGAGTAACCAACCGCCGCAGAGTCGGCAACTAGTGCCTTGGAGTAGGCTGCCGTGGAGGAGGAAGAAGACTGGATCGGGCGGGACGCGCGGGGCGGGATCCTCCCCATGGGTCCACGGGCCTAGCGCAGTGGACGCCCAGGGCCTCGTGTCCAGCTGGTGAGACAGCCGTGGGCGTGCAAGTGGAGAGAGTGCGCTGGGAGGCTGGGGAGGAATTGAGGTTCCGGACGCTTAGCAGGGAGACGCGAAGGGCCCTGAGCCCAGGAGAAGGAATGGCGTCTAGTCCTTGTTGCAGAGAGGACTGGGTAAACTGGGCAGAAGACAGGGAGGGAAGGAAGGAATGTGGTTCAGGGCGATGACAGCAATGTCCAGAATCTGGGAAGAGGATGGAGAGGAGTGGGAAAGATCCGAACGTTCAGAGAGGCGTCAGGTCTCCATGTTAACAGGAGGAACCGAAAGCTCATAGTGAGAAGAGGGGGCCTGAGACGGGTGACAGGGAGAAATAGCAGGGTTAGGTTTACAAGAGACTCGTGGAGGACGAAAAGAAGTAGCATGTCAGAAGACTGGCACGGGTGGTGTCGTCTTGGAACACAGACAAATTGAGAGACAGGTCACTGTGTGAAGGTGAAAGACCCTCAGAGAGGACCTTCCCTCAGGAGGAGACCCCTAAACCTAAGGGACAGTCCAAGACCAATGGCTGCAACGGCAAGAGGTTTTCTTTTTATTGAGAAGTGCACAGGTACCTGCAGGCGTCAGAGTCTATTTGGAAGACTTGCGCACCGGCAGGCTGGGTAAGGGTCTTTTTATAGGAAAAAGGGCGGCAGATGCATGGTTACAGGGATTTCATTGTTCAGTTTGAATGAGGCGATGGGTTTACTTGAGGACAAGTTCCTCGGGGACGTGAAGATCTGATAATAGCTGACTTGGCTCTATCAGGGCACATGTAGTTTTTCCCAGAACTTTTCATTCCCCTCCTAGGCCTGATGTCCGACCACAGATATCCTGTTTGGCAGCCTAGGAGTACCGACTTTACCTTGAACTTATACTTGTTTGTGTGAAAGCCTTGCAAAATGGCGTTACTGCAGCTAAGCTGGGGTCTTCCAAAGGGACAAGGAAGTTTCACAGGATAAGAGAAATGGAGAATGACCAAGTTAAGGAGAAGAGTGGCTATAATGGTTAGGGTTGAAAGGGAAGAGAAATCGTGGGTCAGAAATGAGGGGAAATAAGTATTGGAGAGAGCTCTTGGACTTAAGAAGGGAGGACACCAGAGCCTTCCAGGCTGGGGAATGTTTGATGTACAGAGGAGTTGGGGGCTCTCATTCATATAAACACAGCTAGACCACTGAATGACATTGGAAGCTCAGGTCAAGGGACGTTTAAATGAAGCTGAACAAGAGACATAGGAACCTCATACTCAGAATAGGAGGAACGAGTCTTCTCAGACTGGAAGAGTACTCTTCATGTGTGGAGGATGACAAAGAGGAGAGATGAAGTATTTCCTGTGCCAAGGAAACACATGTTCAGGTCTGGGCGCATATTAAAGGAAACACATGACTTTGGTGGCCTGGAAACAGGTGGCCACTTTGTAGACCCTCATTGTCTTCCAGACTCTACCTGTTTCCAATCCTGCAGGCTTCTCTTCTTTCCTGAAGCATCTATGGCTGAGGACTGGCAGGACTGCCCAGCCCTGGGCCCTGGCTGGAAGCGTCGTGAATCCTTTCGAAAGTCAGGGGCCTCTTGTGGACGCTCAGACATCTATTATCAGAGGTAATTGGTGGGCTGTGGACAGTGTTCAGTGCAGTCGAACCTTGTTAGTAGTTAAGCCATATACAGTATACAGGTGTGTTTAAATTTACACACACCTGTGTACTGTTTCACTACTAATGAGGTTAAACAGTATGGGTGGAGTTAAAGTCGTGCATGAAAGACCCCCAGAGTTGGGAGACTCTCAATCAAGTCTCGGGATAACACGACCCCCCAAGAACTCACGAGAGACCATCCTTGCTGTAATCACACGAGGTTTATTGACAGGAAACAGCGCGCTGGGGCGGAGACTTCTATCCCACGCAGGGGTAGAGGAGTTCAACCCCGAGTAGCTTGGAGAAGGGGTATTTAAGGGAAGAAACCACAACCCAAAGGGAGGGCATCATTGGAAGATTCCGAAAATACCAGTGATAATCACAAGGGGATAACTCCCCGTTTCTCAAGATTGTTCTCAAGATTATAATCTAACTTTGTGGTCAGCCAGTTCCTGGAACAAAGTCACTGAACCGGCTAACCTAGATTTTTGGTTCTACTCTTCCTGCTAGGGGGTCTGGATTTATCCTGGTCTTTCACATGTAGTCAGTCCTTATTAAAAAGAGTTTGTGTTTTCATAATCACCTATCCCTAATAAAGTTTATTTGACCAAAGCCAATATTCACAGTGCATTTGTGATTATTCATAGATATGCATGGGACAGTTAAAAATTTGAATTGTCTAGTGCTTGCCTTCCCAGTAAGTTGAACAAGAACTTTTTGTTTCCTTTGTACTGCAAATCAAGCATCCTTTCTGTGATCTATTTAGTGCCATATTTTTGTTGCCGAATTTATTGTTTAAAATGACTCCCAAATAAAGTGCTATAGTGTTTTCTAGTGTTCTGAGTGCAAGAGGAAAAGCATGTGCTTTGTCTCCTGTCAGATAAGCTTCCATGAATCGCGTTTGCTATCTATCCGCTTGAGTTACAGTGTTAAGAAGCAGAAATGGTCCATCCCAAAAGAGAAGAGGAAACTCGCTGAGATATGTGTGAGGCTGCTCTGGGAAGAACAAAAATTAACATCTAGAGTACTTGCCGAAGATTCAGGGAAGTTGGGAAAGCAGCTAAATGTGTAGATCCGTGAACTGCTGGCCAGCAAAGCACAGCGACCGGCAAAGACATACTAGCCAGCGCTAGGAAATGTGAACTGTTGTAGGGGCTCGTGCTCACTCGCATGTTTCAGAAGGTGACATGGCGTAAAAACTTGGGGTACAGGTTCTGTGCATCAGGTGTCTTCAGAAGAACAAAACCAAAACACTGGCAGACAATCCTAGACAAAACATCCTCAGAAGCCAGTGGCCCTTAATCATTTCCTGGTTCCAGAGTTGTTTTTAAGAAAGAAACGTTTCAGTGTCTTTAAGCAGAAGCACATAAATGAGATGTTCAGCTGCTGAAAGCTTGACAGACTTGCTGGAATCTACCCGTGTGTTTCCAGTGGGAGCAGTGGCTCTTGCTTCCTGAATTCTGGGTTTGTAGCAACTTCATAATTGCTACATGTAGGGGCTGGACAGATGGCTCTGAGGTTAAGAGCACTGGCTGCTCTTCCAGAGGTCCTGAGTTCAATTCCCAGCAACCACATGGTGGCTCACAGTCATCTAGGATCTGATGCCCTCTTCTGGCGTGCAGGCATAGGTGTGAACAGAGCACTCGTACCTAAATATATATATATAAATAAATGAAATTTTAAAAAAGAAAAAGATAATTACTACACCTAATGAGAATTGATTGTCAGTACCTCAACATTAAAGTTCATAAGCATTAGAATGTATTTGTGCTATAGCTGTTAACATTTCTATGCCCTTCCTGGTTGTCTAAGTTGCCATTTCCCTAGAATGTAATAAAATTTCTATAAAAAAGTCTATTATAACTTTTTTCACATATGAAATTCTATGAAAAATTTTAAATTTACAACTAATTGTCAAAAGGTATATATTTATCAAAATAGTAATTCGGTTTGTTAGTTTTATGGATGCTGGTAGGAGGTAAAAAAGTTTCTTACCATAGGATCATCTGTTTTTGCCATTTCCCAGAGTCCTAACTCCCATAGGATGACATGAAGAACATATGTGCTGCCCTCTGTGTTGGAAAGGCAGCCTGTCTGTTTGAACTTAGGTAATCATGTATCAGTATAATAGTGTGCTGCCCTTTTTCCTGGAAGGGGACCTTTTTTAAAGTTCCTTGTTTTTACAACGATAAGGTGGTTTGGTTCAGAGCTAATGAAGGCCTCTTAAAATTCTTGTAGACAGGAAAAGACCTGGAGTGCCATCAGTGTTAATTACTTATACTTTGTATTGAATATAGTTTCATTTTCATGTTTTAAAAAATAATTCTGTTACAGGCTTTTATGTTTAATTCTTTTGGTATGTGATACATAACGTATTAAGTACTGGGTATTTGTCTTGTGTTCATAGAGCCCTGGTTTAATTCCCATCACAGCACGGACTAAGTATGGTGGTACATTTTGAAATCCTAGCATTGGGGTAGAAGAGGCAGGAGGATCAGAAGTTCTAGGTCATCTTTACAAATGAGTTTCAAAACCATCGTGGTGAAAGTAATATCCCCATTTCAAACAAAACAACCCAAAATACATATTTATATGTTACTTAATATGTATTGCGTTGATTTTTATTCATACTTTCAACACTAATAGTGTTACATTTTGTAAGTATGTTTATGTGTCTTTATTTTTTATTTATTTTGAGACAGGGTCTCTTTCTCCATAGGGCCCCTGGCTGTACTGGAACTCATTGTGTAGACCAGGCTGGCCTTAAACTCACAGAGATCCATCCACCTGCCTTTGCCTCCCAAGTGCTAGGATAAAGGCATGTGCCACCACTACCCTGCCTGTTATATGTCTGTATATAATTACCAATAGTAATACAGTCTGAGAAATTTAAAGTGAATGTGGCCACACAGACTCAGGTGGTCTAATACACCATACTCTATACCTAAGCTGCATATTCATGGAGTCATACATTGCTCACTGGTACTAGTGCATTCTGGGAAGCATGTTAATTAATGATTTTTCATGTGAAAATCAGAGATTATAAAACTAGGGCGTGTGGTGTCATTAGACACTGTATAGTAGACTACCATGTGTACGCAGTTGGTTTTTGATGAGAGCATCACTGAACACCACATAACTGTATAGGCTTTGAATACACTCCAGTGCTGAACAAAAGTCATGAGAGTAAATCAAGCTCCAGAGAAATGTGAAGCCGAGAGATGTAGTAACCATTTAACTATATTAATTAGTTACTACCAGTCTAACATTGCAGTTTCACAGTATATTAGTTTTTTCATAAGTAGAACTCTAATGACTAAAAAATCGCGCTAAGTTCATAATTGAAGAATTGTAATTATTATTAATCAGTTATGTACTGTACATCAGTACATACATTACATGCTTGTTTATACTGACACCGCTAAAGATGCCTGAATAATGTTTTGTGTTACGATATTAAAGTTATTGCAGTATTGCCAGATAATAGAATTTTTCCCTGTATTATAATTTTTGGGGGTTACCTTAGGATCTGGGATGTCATGGATCAAAGTGAGTTTCACACTTGTATTATTTATTAACATTTGTTATGCATGCTTGTATTTATATTCTGTATTCCTGTTACTTATTTTAAGATGGGTCTTAGATGGGGGTCACAGGCTGAATCCAGACTGTTTCTTGCATCTCACCTGATCTGTGGAACTGTTGTGTGGGTGGCATGACATTAGTTCCGTCATGGTGCCAACTCATTCTGGTTCATTCTCAGTCCCACAGGCGACAAGATTCGAAGCAAGGTTGAACTGACTCGATACCTAGGCCCTGCATGTGATCTGACCCTCTTTGACTTCAGACAAGGAATCTTGTGCTACCCGGCTCCCAAGGTACTTCCCAATGCCGGTGTTCATACGCGGGCAACTCTGTCACCCGTGTCCCCACATTCTTCCTGTCTTCATCTCCAGACCCATCCCTTGCCTGACCCCAGCAAGAAGCAAAAGAAGCCTTCTAAACCAGCCAATGTTAAGAAGCATCAGGGTGGGCTGCAGAAGAGTGATGTCAGGAAGGCGACCCCGCGGGCTGAGAATAGTGCTGGCACTGACACAGCTCCAGCTTCATTACTTGTACCTGGGTGAGTGTTAGCTTAAGGTGAGCTGGGTAGGAGGTGAGACTTGGGACTGGGAGTAATTACCTCTGCTCTTTTCACTGTAGCCGCTGTGAGAATTGTGGAATCCGCGTCCCAAGGAATGGTATCAGAAAGCAGAGGCTCAAGACATTATGCGAAGACTGCCGAGGTAAGTAAGTTCCTAGGGATTAGGAAACAGGGACACATAGTAGACCCAGTGCCAGGCTAGGCTGGAGGCTCTATGGTTCATGTCGGGATGGAGGCTTTGGGCATACATGGAATTGGCCTATGACCTCACTATTGGCATAGGTAGAATGGTGAAATGTCAGTCAATCTCTTTCTTGACCTCAGTCCGAAATGATGGTCCTATCTCCAGGAATCTCAGAATGGGACTGTCTGAGAGCTGTCCCCTCCTATTTTATATTCCTCTCTTGAGCTGGGATTAAAGGCATGCACTGGCCGGTTTCTATGGCAACTAGTGTGGCTACTGGGATTAAAGATGTGTGTTACCTCTACACTGGCTGACCAGTGGGGCAGTTTTACTCTGATCTTCAGGCAAGTTTTATTTATTAAAATACAAATGAAATGCCACCACAGTGAAAGTCAGGGTTAAGGTAGTAGCTGAAGCCATGTGCCTGTGTCTGTTGCTTTGTTGCCATTTCTCTCATTCTCCTTCTCCCGCCAGCACAGAGAATTGCCTTCAACCGAGAACAGAGAATGTTTAAGGTGAGAATATGTTTTGTTGGACTCTAAAGCCCACTTACCAAGGAGGGGTCGCCCCAAGAGACCACTCTAACACCGCAGTTGTTGTAAAAGCAAGAGGAATTTTATTACCTGGCACGCCAGGGCCCCTCAGCCTCGGGAGGAGAACCTCAAGTGGCTGTTACAGGCTACTTTTAAAGAAAAAAACCGCAGAAGCAAAGGGGAAGTCCAGGAGTCATTTGTCAACTATTGTGACTGGCTCGTTTAATGATCAGCTAACTATAATTGGTCAATGCCATGGCGGGACGGCAGTTGATGGGTTGGTTGAGCAAGGAGGAACATCTGCGGGTCGTTTTTGCCCCAGTTCCAGGAACTGGGTCTATTCGGAGAAAAACCACAAAGGGATGGGAAGTACCTGGGAAAGTACCCGAAGCTCCAGTGCACACGTGGGTGATTTATCAGGTTCCTGGTTCCCAGGAGAGGAGGGGCAGTAATGCTGAGATGCCCCAGAGTCTTTCAGTGTCATCACAGTCTACAAGAGAACAGAATGGGGCAGGACCGATGGAGGGCTTAGCAATGATGACAGGTCAGCCGGGTGTTATAGATTGTTTCTTAAATAGATACCTGGCTGTTGGTTTGTTTGCAGATGCAATAATGGGAATTAGAGAGGGGTATCAATAGACATAGGGAAGAGTAGCATGAATAATAAAAACCCAGGGAAAGATATTAGATTCAGCCTGAAGATCAGAAAAGCAAACCAGCCGAGTCTCTAGAGAGCTCTTACCTCTATGAAATCTTCAGACTAAAAGAGTGAGTTCCTGTCTCATCCCGCTTTATATTCCTCTCTAGTGCTGGGACTAAAAGCGTGCACCGCCACCGCCTGGCCTTTATGGCTAACTAATGTGGCTTCTGGAATTAAAGGATTGTTCCACTACTGCCTGGCCTGTATGGCTGAGTAGTGTGGCTCTTTTGCATTCTGATCTTCAGGCAAGTTTTATTTATTAAAATACAAATGAAATATCACTATAGGAATGAATTTAACAGAGCACTAGTAGAAGGCATAGTAGTAGCCTTGGTGCTGGCAAACTAATCAGTAGTTTATTAGCTACAGTAAGGGGGCTAATGGAAGACTAATAAGTACGGCAAACATTTGGAAGGGCAGTGGCCCTGGAGCCCTCTCCCTAGGCCTCTAATCTTACCCCATCCATTTCTGACAGAGAGTTGGCTGTGGAGAGTGTACAGCTTGCCTGGTGAAAGAAGACTGTGGGGCTTGCTCCATCTGCCGCCTGCAGCTGCCCCGTGATGTGGCCTCAGGGCTCTACTGCAAGTGTGAGCAGAGGCGCTGCCTCCGGATTGTGGAGAAGGTGAGGCAGTCAGATGAAGTGGGCCAAGGCGCTCCTGGCCTTCAAGGCCCTGAGCCCCTACTTCACAACTCCTGCCCCCCCACAGAGCCGAGGGTGCGGAGTATGTCGGGGTTGTCAGAACCAAGAAGACTGTGGCTGTTGCCGATTCTGCCTTCGCCCTCCCCGCCCTGGTCGCAAGCGCCAGTGGAGGTGTCTGCAGCGGCGCTGCTTGTGGGTGAGTCAGGCTAGAGGTGCTGGTGGAGTCAAGGCTGGGGCAGAGCTCGTGCTGCTGTTAAATTTACCACCACTGCTGCTGTTTCTTCCTCCCAGTCTGGCTTTGCCTGCTTCATGTCTTATTTTCTTTTCTGCCCCATGTTCACCTCCTTGGTTCTGCCTACCTGCCTTTCTCTGCCAGCACTTTGCTCATCGCTTCCGTGGCCACCCTCAAGGATGTCACCAGTGCCCTCCCCAGGTTGTGGTTCCCCCTATTGTGAGTGCCTGACTGCACACTCCGCCTGACCAGTCAATGCATGCTTTTTGTACTCCCTGGGGCTCCTGTGTCTCTCTGGTACCACCATGCCTTAACTGTCCTTCGGCCTCTAGGGTAAACGTGACCGTGACCGTCGTAAGAGTAGCTCGAAGGTGGCTGCCCAACGTCACTCCCAAGCTCAACCAGTGCCTCCACTTCCTGCACTGCAGCACCCAGAGCCCACAGAGCTGGTAAGGCCCTGGTGGGCAGAGGGAAGGCACAACCCTAAACTTACTCAGGACCTGCCCTGACCCCAGCACATTTGCCTCTGCAGCACATCAGCGACCTAGTGCCCACATCACCTGCTGAGTTCATCTATTACTGTGTAGACGAGGACGAGCTAGTGAGTGGCCCCACCTTACCTGGATAAACTAGATGCTCCTGATGCTTATTTAACCCAAGGAAGTAGATGCTGTAATGGGGACTAGTAGGGAGTAATAGTGAGCGCTAGGATGGGAAAGAAGAGGGGCTAGCAATGCGGTGCTTACTGTCAGATGAACCAGCGTCAATGGCTGGTGCAGGACAAAGAGGCTGAATGGAGACATTCACAGGGGTGCAGGTAAACACGTTTGTGTAGAGTAAGTCAACATCTCTGGCAGTGATGAGGACTAATGGAAGGTCAGCCAAGTCCTGATGAAGTGAGGGCCAGAGACACTGTCCTGATCGCAGGTACTCTTCTGATAAAGTAATGGATCAGCCTCAGTCCTAATGGGCTTGGAGGCCAGCTGGCACAGTGGTTGCGGCATATTTTGAGGCCACAGATGCCTAGGAGAGTTAGCAGGCTGAGCCTCGTGTGTCGCTAGCTCCTCCATGGGGCTAGAGGAGCACCAGCACAGTAATACTGAGATTGGTGTTGAGGACGGCCTCTCCTAGTCCTAGTGACAGTGGCACCATTCCCCTCCACCCCAGCAGCCCTACACGAACCACCGGCAGAACCGCAAGTGCGGGGCCTGTGCAGCCTGCCTACGGCGGATGGACTGTGGCCACTGCGACTTCTGCTGCGACAAGCCCAAATTCGGGGGCAGCAACCAGAAGCGCCAGAAGTGTCGTTGGCGCCAGTGCCTGCAATTTGCCATGGTGGGTGGGGCAGGGAGGGTTAGGTGGATGGGCTAGGTTGGGCCTGGCCCACCCCCTTGTTTGGGAGTGGTGGGCAGGCCTGGTAGATGGGTGGGTGGTGTAGTGAGTCTTGTTGAGGATTAGCAGACAATGTGCTGGGGTGATGAGTTCAGCTGTACTGCCATTGCAGACAGGAGATTGACTAGCAGGCTTAGTGATGACAGCTCCCGGAAGCAGCAGATTCTGTGTGTGCTCTGATGGGATGTTAGCAGCCACATTGAGTAGGGCAGGGTGGGTATGGTCAGATGGCATCGGGTTGACCACAGCACCCAACGTTGTTCTCACAGAAGCGACTGCTGCCCAGTACTGGGTCAGGGTCTGAGGAGGGAGCAGGATCGCCTCCTTGTCACCCTTGTCGAAAGAGGCCTGGTTCTCCTCGACAGCTCCATCCAAGCTCCTCTTCAAAGGCCCCTTTGGCTGTGCACACAACCCCACCATGCCCTGCCCAGGCTTCAGCGAAGCAGCAAATAGGTAGTGGCTTTGTGCCGACCCCACCTGACACAGACCTTGTGTTTTTACGAGAGGGTGCCAGCAGTCCTCTGCAGGTGCCTGGTCCTGCTGCAGCTTCCTCAGAAGCCCCATTACAGGTAAGGATCTCCTCCCACTCTTCCAAGCTCCACCCAGCCTTGTGCCATGGACCTGAGACCAAGTCTGCTGCCATCCTCCCTTATGCAGGAGGCCCAGTGCTCTGCCCAGAGTTGGCTTGTGACCTTACCACAGGTGAAGCAAGAGAAGGTGGACGCCCCAGAGGAGTGGACAGCAGGCACAGCCTTCCCGACTTCTCCCACGTTGCAGTCTGGCTGCCCTGGCAAGGTTAGGGAGGTAATGGGTGCGCACAGGTGGCCTGTAAGCAAGGTGATAGAGAGCTGTGGTGGTGGGGCTGCGGGTGGTGATGGTGCGCATTCTGTTGAATTGTCCAGCATGTCCAGCAGGCACCTCACCTGCTCTGCTGCTCAGCTCCCAGGGGACTGAAACCCATTGAGGAATGGGAAAGGTTCACAGGCAGAGGTGGCATTTCTCAGTGATAAAAGGGAGGTCTGTCTGCATATATAATAATTATAATAATAATAATAACAACAACAATAATATAATAATAAAAAATACTCAGCCTGGCCCTGTCCTAACTGCTGCCCTTCCTCATTCTCCTAGGCAGTAGACCCAGACCTTCCACCTGTGAAACAAGAGTCCCCTGGCCCAGAGGAGGATAGAGAAGAAAACAGAGAAGATTATGTTTCTGCATCAGCCCCAGAGGAGGAGGAGGCAGGAGGGATTGGCACACCAGTGGTCAGTGCTGGGGATGTTCCCACCCTACCCTGATCTTACCTTTTCTCCTCCTGTCATACTGACCCATGATATGTTAATTCTTTCCTAGATCACGGAGATTTTCAGCCTGGGTGGAACCCGCCTCCGGGACATAGCAGCTTGGTGGCCAAGGTGTGCCCCATACAGTTAGGTGTGGGGAATGGGGTAGGTACCGGCCAGATATGGGCCCTGAGTTTTAAACCTAGGGTCAGCAATTTGATTGGGTGCAAAGGGACATAAGGACTGTAACCATTATACTGCACAACCAGTAAGGGTGTGTGTGTGTGTGTGTGCGCGCGCGTGCGTGCGCAGGTAGGTCTGTAAAGATTGCTCCTGAGACCCAGCCTGCTGGTATTCCAGGGCTCTCTTGGGGAAGAAAGAGAAGGACTGATGCTCCATGTTGAGATTTCAAAGAAAAAAGTGAGGCTGGTCCCCGCCTATGTAAGAAAATCCTTTCAAGGGTCAGACTTGGTATACACATTCTTACTCAGAAGATCACCATTTGTGGTCTTGAAGGCCCTTGATGTCTCCAGAGCCCTTTATTGGGTGAGCTGTCCCTGATGATGGGAAGAATATATGTCACACAGATGACATTGGACTTGCCTAGGCAGTGGAGTTGGTTTGGGGATTGGGCTTTAAGTGGCTCTGCAAGCTAAGCCTGTGTAGCTGTGTGATTTCAAGTATATTCCCCACTTCCTAGAGTAGCGTCTGTGGGTAAATTTGAGCTGTGTGTCCCAAGCATTTCCTGTTGAGTTTACTGTTTTGAATACTGTGTAGAACTGTCCCTGTAAGTCTAGTAACAGAAGTGAGGAGAGATGCCATTGTGGTGGTGGGAGGAGGACCACCCCAAAGATAAAAAAACAAAAACAAACAAACAAAAAAAAAACCTATTGGGCCAAGCACCTGGATTCCTTTGTTCCCATATATCAGTTTTAACTGCTAGAAAATCTGCTAGTGTACCTTGTAGATGGCAGGTGGAGATGACTGACACCCTGCCTGGCACACAGCTGTTGGGGCTTCCACTGGTGATGCTACTGCAGCCTGTAAGGCTTACCCCCGAGAAGATACAGCATCCCTGGCTTCCGGGAGCTCAGGATTTTCTGGAAGATGAAACTTTCCCCACTTAACAGAGAAGTGCTGTACTGTTTGCCTTTCTAGTCTGTAGAAGAAAGAAAAGTGGCTATAGGTGAACAAGGAGAAATGGATGCAGGTGCAGAATAGGAGGAAATGGTTTTGTGATGCTCTGTTTTCTACATGGCAAACCTCATTCAACAGACAGACCTGCTCCCTCTTCTCTAGGTCCAAGGACCTTAAAAAACCTGAAGCTAAAATGCAGTAGACTGGAGACTTCTGCTGACTGTAGGACTGAAGGTGATATTTGCACACCGGCTTTATGAGAAACAACCCTGATCTACCAGGGGCTGGGCCCTGGCCTGGTCGCAGAGCTTGTTTGTGAATCAGCTCTAAGAGAAAGACCTGCAAGCACAATCGAGGAACAGGCCTGCCCAGGCCTGGAAACTTAGAGGAAAGAAGCTGGAGAGAAGAGGAAGAATAGAAGGCTGGGAGAACGTCTGCTCCTCCAAGGATCTCAGTGTGATGAGAAGGTGGATGTAGGGGAGGGGAGGATATGATCGAAGCCACTACCAACAACTGAAGCCATCTTCATTACTGTTGGTGGCTTCCGGATGAGACTTGGCAGTGTGTCTGCACATTTTCTCAGGGAAACAGCAGTTGAAATGCTACAGAATAAAGGAGGAAAAGGCATTGTTTGGTGAGCTCCTCCCGTGGAGCCACTTACTGCACCCTCACAGTAGTCCTTAGGAAGACAGTGAGTGATATTGAGCACTTCTACAGGTAGGTAAACAGACTCAGAAGAGACAAACGTATTAGTGTCAAACAGCTAGTGTTGGTAGAGTCTAGAAATCCACCGGGCTATACAAGCTCTGTTCTTTAATCCACTAAACTGTTAACTGCAGTCTTTGTGCAATAATGTATATTACAATAACAGTTTTAGTGACTTTGAAAGTAGTGGTAGATTACTACGAAGAGTATAAAATATCCTTTACACCTTTGCCTATGCCTAGGCTGTGGGTGGATGGGGTCACCTTCTCGTCAGAGCATTGGTTCATGTAGAATCTAGGTTCCCTGAAGGCCCCATATGCTGCATAGGATCCCTCAGCCCCAAAAGTGTGTTCTTCCTCACTGCTGGCTGACAATTTGCTTGAGCCCAGAGAGTCTCACTTTAGCCAGAGCAGTGCTTGGAACTAAAGCTGTCAGCCTGGGCCGTCTTTTCCAGGCAGTATCTTCTCTCTGATGACCTTTGTGCATGTTTCCTGCCCTCAGCCCAAATGTTTGTTAGGAGGCTGAATGAGCTTATGCACTGAGTCCCGCCCAAGGGCTGGTCTTGGCTCAGCCTTACCTCACTTTCCATCCTTAAAATGCCAAAAAGATACAGAACTGGTTACTTAGCCAGGTTTACGGGGCCAGGACTGAGTGCCTCGACATACTTTGTGTCCTGTGTGCCCCCCTTGCTTTAGCCTAGTCCCAAGCCCTGCTGCTTTAGGTAATTCAGATGTGGATTACTCATTTCTTATTTCTAACTCACAAGGCACAGCTCTCTGCTACCTTCTACTCTTCCTTTGCCTTGCTTTGCCTAATTCTATCCTGGAGTCATACTGCTTTTACCCCCTAGAGCATACCACTTGTCCCTAGTATTCTGATCATTCTGACAGTGATGTTCTAAGGGTAACATCTTGGTTGGCATTTGACTTGTGAACAAAGATTCTGATTACTATGTGTATTGACTAGGGTACAGTCAAAAGGTCAGAACCACTGCAACAAAGACTAATGTATGTGTTTTAGGGGAGTTTTGGGAGACATTTTACATTGTTTAATTTTGGGAGATAGTTTAGTAGCCTCTAAGACTGTCAGTTGTATGTAATACTTGAGCTCAAAATATTCAGGACAGGCAGTGAGGAAGGGAAGGTGGATGGACCCATGGGAGCCCATGAACAAGAGTTGGAATTCAAGATGGCCTGAAATCCATGTTAGTGTCTCACCATCTCCCGCTTCGATGATGTTTGTGTCCTGAAGAAGAAGCTAGTAGAAGTAGCATCTGGCCTAGGACTAGATAAGCTGAAGGAAGATCCCAGGGAAGTTGTAGCAGCTGGAAGCCTGGCTGTAGGATTTGCTGTTTCCCCATACCAAGGTGAGACAGCAGATTAATGACTGCTTGTATGAACTGCAGTATGCCTGGTATTCGTGCACCAACTTCTCAACAGCCTGCTGCTGTTTCACTTCTGCTAATCACAATGTTTCTGTGAATTTTCTTAACTAGATGTCTATGGGGAAGGATTCTGGGAAGCATAGTCTAGTTCAGGTGACATATTAGAAAGCCACCCGCCATGACTCAGCTCCCAAAGGTCTCACCACTTACCCAAGGATAAGCTGAAAATGTAAAGCTGAAGACCACAGATTTCATGATGGTCCCAGCAAAGAAAGAAACCCTGTCAAGCTCCTCCATAACAATCTTGCTGGTCTCAGAGCTGTATTTTTGTCATTCATCCAAGTATGGAAAACTTGGCCCATAGTTATCACTGTACATGATACTGAGATCCAAAAATGCAATTTTATAAAATGCATCAATATATATTACAAATGATAAAAAGATCTCCAGTTTTTTATGGACTTTGATGCTCAGAATATAAAATCTAATATACTATGGAGAAGCCAGTCCTTTTTCAAGATGCGTGAGAAGTTGGAAACAATTATTTCTATTTCTAAACTGTTCTATTTTAAAATTATTTTAAAACAATTTTCTTGTTCTATTTATTGGTTTTTATGTTAGTGATTCTTTGAGGATTGTTTGGTGGTGGGAACAGTGTGGACCGCTGTGGAAGAATTGGGATAGTGGGTGGCAAGATGAAGATCAGCTCTGTCATTTCCCTAGGCTTCATTCAGATCAGGGTGCTGCAGGCTGAGGCACTGTGCTGCTCCTGATCCACCTTATAGTCCATAAGGCTCCTCCAGGTCCAGGCTGGTTGAGACAACCATTGGATAGATTCCAAAGCTGGTGCCAGGCACCCTGGGGCAGAGCCTGCACCAGCTGTACTTCCTGATGTTGGAGAGCCCACTTCCATTCTTCAGAGGATGGTGGAACAGTCTAAGCTGAGTCTCCTGACCAGGATCATCACCTAACTGCTCTGCCATTGGAGTGCAGGATGGCGGTGTGATGCAGCTGGCTACCTCTAAGGCTCAGCTTCCCCAAATTCACAAACAGGACTTCTGTGGCCACACAGATCTCAAGGGTGTGGACCAGGCAGCCCCAATTTCTGGGGTCTTTCACAAACCCTGCTCAAAGGTTTCTTCACTTCTGCAGAAGGTGTGTGTGCTGGGGGCGAGGGGAGACCCACCTAAAAGTCCAACACGTAGAACCGCTCAGATGAAGGAGGTACCTCTTTGGACAGGGAACCCTGACAGCCTCTTAATTTTTTTTCTTTTTTGTTTGTTTCAGGCTACATAAGCTGTTAGCAGTAAATGAAAATGAGTATTTTACTGAGCTGCAGTTGAAAGAAGAAATATTGTAGGCGAGAAAACAATTATTAGGAGAAGAAAGACATTCTTTTATGGCTGAAAAGCTGAACCCAGAATTCAGGAAATGGACCCCAAGTCTAGAGATGTACCGTATAGAAAATCTGAAGTGGCTGGGGGGTTACAAATAATTAAGCATGCTAATTTGAAAAAACCGACCTTAAGAGGTGTATCCATGAGTCGCACTACAACTGGTAGTGTCCACCAGTAACCTTGTCACTGCCCCTCCCCCTTCTGCTTCTGTTATCTCCCCCCTCTTTAGAACAGGGGTACCAAAGTAGCATTCATAATTGGCTCTTGAAAATTATAACTCCATCTTACTATTAATGAGAACTACAGCTCCGGTCCCCAGGACTATCCAGTTCCTTGGACTGTTGCCAGTTTTGCCTGGGATCCTAATTCTCAAGAATTGAGTAGCTGAACTTGTGAGCCACAGTTCAGATCCATTCTGATTGCTCCATTGAGAGTTTTTGTGTTCAACCCAGTAAGATTACTGCCCCACCAGTACATCTGAGCTGCCTGCTTCCTGTGTTCACCCGAAGTGTAAGCTGTTTTCTGTTGAGTGCCATAGAAGACTTCGCCGTACTGGTTGTGTGGCTCTATATATAGCACTTGGGCTATATTGGAGCCCTAATCGACTTCACTGTAAAATAATGCTAATGATACCTTCAGTTCTTTCAACCTTGTAAGATTCTTGTCAATCTCAAAGGTTGTTTCTGAAAATATTTTGCAAATTGTAAAAAAGAAAAAACCTACCCAAGCATAAGGTTGCCATGTGATTATTACATCAAGATTAACTTCAAGGTGGTAGAAAGTTTAACCTTTCTTATGCTTTTAGATCAATTATAGGCAGGCGATAACTAGCAAATTCACTGGATTGTGTTTTGACTCATAAGTTAGAGAGGTTTTTCTTTGTTTTTCTCCGCCTCTGGCGAGCCACAGAGGAAGAGAAGGAGGTGGGGTGGAGGAGTTCCTGCCAGGGCGGGGTGATAACAGCAGAGTGACCAGGGACAACTTCCGCTTGACCCGCCCACCTTCACTAACTGCGCGGGGAGGGGTGGCTCACCATGGCAACTGGCCTCTGCATTGTGGAAGCAGACTACCCTGGGCTTGGCGGTTCCTGGTAGTCACCATTCCAAGGAGACTTGAAGATGTACAGCCAGCGGTTTGGCACTGTCCCAAGGGAATTTAAGGGTCCCACTCCCAAGGCGGTGATCATTGTAAGTACAGGATATTTGTGCGGGAAACCTAAGACCTTTTCCGTCTCCTGGTGGAGCCTGACCAGTTCTTTCACCTGGGAAGCAGGTTCCGGAAGCAGCGGGCTTTGGGGAAGAAAAGGTTGCTGCTCGCCGATCTATCATTCCGCCCACTTCCACCCCATCCTTTTCCACTCCAACCTCCAACCACAATCACCACTGGGGATCTTGGTGTTTTTGTTTTTCCTTTAGTATCCCCCAAATGCCGTGAGCTTGGGTGTGGGAGCATTATGGAAGGGCACTGGGCCAAGAGGCTGATTCTGGATCTGAACTGGCTATGGTTCAACGGGACAACTTTGGGATGGTCTTGTGACCCTATGAAAATAGTCTATAGAAAGGGAATTGGGCTTTGAATGTTGTGTGTGATAGTGGGATGTTCCTGTGCCGGCTAAATGCGTGGCTGGTGTTGGACAACATTGCTCCTACAGACTGAAAATAAGCCAGTTAGTTGCTTCCTACAATGGACTGGTACGGGTTGCCGATAAGAAAGGAATTTAAAATGAATTTTGCTAGCAATACAGACACTCTCTTCCATGCATATGTTTTTTTTTAAATTCCTGAATACTTGTTTCTACAGATTAGAAAATCAGTCATATGTAATCAGAGTTATGGCTGGAACCACTACTGGGTGTATAGTATTAATGGGGGTAAATCCAGTGACCCCCTTCATTAAACCCCCATCCACATGGTGAAGAAACAGCCTCCTCCTAAATAAGCCATTAAAAGTAGGTAATAGGTTATGTTTACTGTGGTGGCAGCTTGTGGAAGAAAGTAAGATTTGGGCTAATCAAGAATACAGTTGTATTACGGCCCGTAGGCGCGTTCCATATGTCCACTGACAGAACTCCCTCTTCTCTAGGTCCTAGGACTTTAGAATCTGAATCTGGAAAAAAGTAGTCTGGAAACTGCTGTGGGCTTTCAAAGCTCAAGATAACTTCATGGACAACAGAATCAAACACTTTTGGGTCTTGTATCTCAATGCAGCATTTGGGATCCAGGCCATTTGTTGGCGACTATTATTTATGCTCATAACCCACAAGAAACAGGGAGAAGAAAAACAGACTGCTGTAGCAGAAGCAGGCCACTAAATACTGTGAGCTTCCAGAAAAGAGGAGGAGGCAAAAGAACCAGAGTTGTTTCTTCTTCTCTGGTGTCTAAGTAGGTGACAAGAAACGAGAGGTAATTGATGAAGCTTGGACCCTCAGAAATTCCATAGGAAAAAGCAATTTTTTAAAAAGGTGATGGAGTCAGCCACTAGCACATTCTTTTTCTCATTTAACAGATGAGAAACCCTAGAGTATAGGTCAGAATCAAGCCTGGATGGGGGTATTGTTCTTTAAAATAGGAACCTGAGATGCTGTCATAGCAAAGTCCTTCCTTGATCTTCTTTTGGTGTCCTAGGAGGGTTAGTGTCATTATTGTAGTTGCTAGCCATGCATGACTTTTCCCTTCTGGAAATGTGTTAGTTGAGAATGCTCAGAGTCACATATTGAAAAGATAATATTCTGGATATACTGGATAAATAAACTATATCATCAAAATTAATATTCTATTTTAACCAGTTCAATTGCAAGAAAAACTTAAGTTGTGTGTCTGTTTTGTATTCTATTTCTATTGAACAGTGTGGGTTTTGGTCAGTGACAAGCCTGTTCCTTGACTGGCATCACTTTTTTCCATTTTAGACAACTCAAGGTCCCACCTTCTTCATCCAGAGACTGGGAACTCAGCTAGGCATGGTGGCACAGCCTGTAACTACAACATTTGGGGGGCAGAGGCGGATGATCAGTTAAGCGAGCACTTGAGCCAGCCTGAGCTACATGACACCATGTCTCAATGCCCCAAGCCTTCCAGGGCTTCCAGGTCTAGCTACCACTCATGCTGTTTCTCACCAACTCTTCTTGCCCGCGTTAGTCAAAGTGTACCTCAGGTCTTGATTCCTGTCCTGACCGTTGGCAACCACCGCGTCTAGCTGGCCTGGGTGGTGTTCTCGGTCCACACACATCTACCCGAAGCCTAAGTTCTTTCTGTGTCTCCTGCCCAGTCACCCTGCTCTACTTCACTATCACAGAATCCGCACACATAAAATACCAGGAATGTTAGAGAATAGTAGTTTAATTAGTTGACTCTAGACTCCAAATCATTTTGATGTGGATTTCTACTCTCGTGATGCACTTTCTACTCTCCTCTTGGGTTGTTTCCCGTTTCATCCTGTCAGCTGCACCTAGGTGCCTCTTTGTGTACCTGAAGCATTTCATCAGTTTTATCTTTGGATGGATGCTGTGTTTGTTTCCTTTGAATGCTTTACCACAATGACCAAACCCCAGTATCTGGTCATTCTGGCACTTATATTCTAAATATAACTCAGCAGAATGGATCTGCCTTGTGCTTTCTGGGTTTATTACTATGAATGAGCACCCATGTGCCACACCTCACCAAAGATGACTGGATAAAACCAGTCATAAGATAAGACCATTGATTCCTTGATGGCACCAGGAGGTACAGACACTGCATCGAGACCACCCAGAAACACTGTTCACTCATTCACATTGAGAGGCTAGCAATGATAAAGATATAGCTAAGGAGATTTCATTTGGTGTGTTACTATATAGTCAAACTGCATGCACACCTCCAGCTTCTGAGTGACCATTGTGCAAAGAGAATACATTTAAAGAAACTGAACTATCCCTAAAATATCTATAACTGTCGGAGACCAGCTTCGACAAGGATACCACTTACCAGGACAGGGGCATGGGGATTAGAAAAATAAGTAAAGAGAATGAAGACTCTAGTGAAAATAATAAACAGAAGCATAGGATAGGGAGTTCCAGTGAATACTGAAAGTTGCCCACATTTAATTTCCATTTGCTTAAATACCCTGACCCCAAAAGTTAGGAATAAGATAAAACTGCATTAACATGATTCAAGGAATGACCTCACCAGCTGAAGGGCTAATGGCTACATTCTTAGTTAAAATTCTGTTGCCAGAACAAGACAAAAAACACTCATACCCTAGACCAAAACATTCTGTAAGCAAACCACTTCTTGGGTGAAATCCATAGTTATCTCCCTAAGAGAGTAGGAACCCAGTTGGAGCCTTAGACTTTTGTTTGAGATAGGTACAGAGCTACTTCTTAATACCAGAAATACAAAGTCTGGATGTTAGCCATACCTGTTATTTGGACTGTAGTCAATTCCCTTGAAGGAACAGAAATAAGTTTCAATTCTCTGGCCTTTAGTCAAAGTAGAATGACCCCATACCTATGGGTCCTGTCACATAGCATAGGCCTTTCATTCAAACTTTCAAAAACAAACCGAGTAAATTTCTAGTATCAATCCCCTCTTCCATCCTTCTTTTCTTTCTTCATTTTTTTCCGTTTTGGTATTTTACTTTTACAATTTAGTACCTGTATAGTTAAATTTAACATGTATAGTTAAGTACTTTATCCATCGAAAGTATTTTGATGCTAATAACTGATTAGAAAAAAAATGTGTGCATAGTAAGTCACAATAGCAGGTTTGAGAAGACCCCTAATTCTTACTATCCAGGTTTATACTATCTGAAGCACTTTGAACATAGAACTCTGAACATAGTACTCATATCTCTGGTTGATTAAATATTTCTAGAACCTGGTCTGTTAAATTTTTATCTATCTATCTATCTATCTATCTATCTATCTATCTATATCATCATCTATTTCTATGTATCTATGTATCTATCTATGTTCTTTGAGAGTATCTAGTTCTATGCCTGTTTTGCTTGTATTTACCCCAACGCTTCCCATATCCACTCCTCATTCCATACCCACCCAACTTGTATCTTCCTTCTTTTTTGTTGGGACACACAGAGATGTGAGCCTGTTCCACCTTGTCTAGCGGTCAGAGAGTTTGAGCTTATTTTTGTTCTTTCAAAGTTGTTGACAATAAGTATGGGTATACACCCTGACTTAGGGTGTGGTTATTTGGTGTTTTGGACATTAAGATGATCCATAGAGGTGGATCTGCTCCACACTGACAAAAGGCCAGAAAATTCAATCATAGTCTTGTGCTCCTTCATTTAAAATTGGAAATTTGACATAGGTAGTGGCTGCCTATAGGATACTTGGTCTAGGGTGTGTTCACTGAACATTCCTGCCCAAGCATCAAATGCCTTACTCAGGAAATAATGGCTTGATGTCTGAAGTACTGAAGCAAGTAACTGATTTGGTTGTTCTTTGTGTCATATTAAAGCAGTATTTTTCCTTCTTCCCTCCTTTTGTATTGGGGTATAAAAGCATAAGAAAAATGAATGATTTCCCTTCCTGCTAGGGGTCAGTTATCTAAGGAGTGAATGTCATGGAAGAAGTCTCTAGTGCCCCATAAACTTGCTATGGGGCCCGGGGTGGGCTCCTCCTTCCGTTTTCCAACTGACCAGAGCACAGATGACCATCAGTGTCTGTCTTAGACCGACATTCATTAGACCAATGATGTCCTTTCCTGCAATGGGGGCACAA